TGGCCAAAGTGCCCAGCATAGTGTGTGATCAATCAGTGTTGACTTCCCATATGGAGGATCTCTTTTCCCCAGAGCAGATGACTCAATGCGACTTTGGGATCCCCCCATTTCTCTGTGATTGGAAGCTGCCCCGTGCACTAAGGCTGTTTGGAAGCCTTGGCCTCTACCCACTAGTACCAGCAGCACACCCTTCTCCCAGCTGTCCTTTTGTGACAGCCAAAAAAAGAAAAAAAAATGTCTTGAGATAGTGCCAAATGTCCTCAGGGGGTAGAGGTGGGCGCAAAATTGCCTCTGGTTGAGAATGATTGTTCCAGAATGATCTTTGCCAATGCTCTTTCCCTGAGGCAGGCATGGTAGACCAGCCCCCTGGTGTCTACTCCGTGTTGTCTTGAGTCACCTAGTCAAATGCCCCCAACCACTGCCACCTTATCTGGGGACGTCTCTGTGACTGTAGTGGCCTGGCCCTGAAACAGCATGTCCAGACTGTAGGATGAGCCTTCACCCCATGCTTTGTCTTCTCTGTCGTAAGCCCAGTGGACAATTTTTATAGCCTTTGGGAGTGACTGGTTCTGGGACAATGATACTGGCAAGTAACACCTTGAATGCCTTTGTCAGGATGGGACAGTCATGGTCCTGGTGTCAGGAGCTATCCTCAGGATAAGAGTCTTCAGGCATGGGGGGAGGGCAAGGGAGATGTGGCATGAGAGGGCAGGACTGCTGCTGCTGCTGCTGCTGCTGCTGCTGCTGCTGCTGCTGCTGGAGAGAAATCGCTCTGAGGGGTTACAACTATGTGGTGGGGCCAAGAACGGATGGAGGAGGACCTAGGTGTCGGGAAGCAGCATGCCCTGTTAGTATTTTTGTTTTGTTTTTCAGGGCTGGGGATTGAACATAAGGACTTCGTTCTTGCTAGAGAAGTCCTCTACCATGGAGCCATGCACTTGCCCCTTGCTGATCTAGCTCCACCCTGAGTCACACCCTAAGCCCCTCAATGAGGTATTGCGGGGCATGTGCTCTACCACTGGGCTACATCCTCAGCCCACTTCTCTATTTTAAGATTTAACCACTCAGCCAAACGTGATAGAACCGGCCTGCCTGTAATCCAATCTACTCAAGAAGCTGAGGCTGGAGGATCAAAACTTCCCAAGGTCTGGGTTGGGAATGAGGCTCAGTTGGCAGTATGCTTACCTGGCATACATACACAAAGCCCTCACTTTGATTCCCTGAATGGAATAAAACCTGGAGGTACAGGCTTGTAACCCTAGCACCCTGGAGATGAAGGCGGCGGTGGCGGCGGGGGTGTGTGTGTGTGTGTGTGTGTGTGTGTGTGTGTGTGTGTGTGTGTCAGAAGTTCAAGGTTATCCTTGATTTCATAGCAAGTTTGAGGTTGTCCTGGGCTACATAAGACTTTACTTGAAGAAAGACAGACAGACAGAAAGAAAAAAGGGAGAGAGAAAGGAAGAGGGAGGGAGGGAGAAAGGAAAAAGGAGAGGGAAAAGGAGGAGAAGGAGAGGGGAGAGGAAGAGAAAGGGAGAGAGAAGGAGAATTCGAGGCCACTGGATTCAAGTGAGTTCAAGACCAGCCTGGGGAACTTAGTGAGACCCTGTCTCAAAACAAGAAAAAAGGTGCTGGGGATGTAGCTCAGAGGTACTTGAGCAGTATGTGTGAAACCTTTGTTCAAGCCTAATACTGGGGGGGAGGGGATGTAGCCTCTTGTCCCATCCTACACCTTTTCCTGGGTTGGCTTCCAGCATCAGCCATCCCTGGGCGTACCAAGACCTCAAAACATCTGAAGTTCTTCCACCTCCCCTCAAATCCATAAGCCCTAGCATGGCCACCCACTTCTCTGGGGTGCGATCTCTGGCCTCGGCCTTCAAGGCCTTCTCTATAGCTTCCCTGGATATGTAGGGAGGCATTTTCCACTACTTCCTGTGTAAATACTTTCCCAGGTACTATAAAAGAGTGTTCTTCTAAAAGGTGTTGCAGCCACTGTAAGGGAAACTCGCTGGGCGAGTGATGTCCCAGGCAAGACTCCTGGAGAGAGACAGAGTAGAAAGCCAAAGGAAGGAGCTTAATAGCCTGGAATCACCCGGATCTCCACTCCTTCGGGTGTAGTAGCTAGTTGAAGGGTCCTTGGGCGGGGAGAGGAGAGGCGGGGCGGGGCGGAGCCACCAAGAAGGGGCGGGCATCGGGCCACCATGCAGGACTGGCCGGGAGGGGGCCACGCTAGCTCGCCCGGCAAAGGCGCGTGGAGTCCCGGGCGCCCTCTCTGTCATCGCGGGCTCCTCCACCCGCTACCCGGTGCGCACCTGCCGCGCCGCCCTCGCGGATCCAGATGGGGAAGGACCAGGGCTTCTCTCGGCACTTTAGGTAGCTTCCCCTTCGCGTTCTGCGCCTCTGGGAACCCAGCGCCCGCATTCGCCAGCATCGGGGGGGTGGGGGGGGAGGGGAGCTGGGACATCGAGGGGGGTTTCCTGTCCTGGGTGGGCAACCTATCGAGACTGGGCGGAGCCCAGAAACTGGGGACAATGGGAATAAACTGGTGGGTATGTGGGCAGTGAGGTTTAGATGTTGGGTCCCCGGGACCCACGCGCAACCCGAGGAGTTGAGATGAAGTGAAAGGCTAGGATTAAAAGCCAACCTCCCTGCATTGGCTCACGGGATAGGACAGAGGACCAAGAACGGGGTTGTCGCGTGCTCTGGATGGGAACCTAGCGCATCGCCTCAAGTTCAGAGTTTGGACCGCAGGACCACTGTCGGGAACTGCAGTTTGCAGCCTCCGAGACCCCCTACCCCTGTCTCCACCTGTTCGGCTGGCTGGAGATTAAGTGCTAGGTGAAGAAAGCTGGGCTGGGATAGAATACATGCAGGCAAGAGAGGATCCTAGGGGAGGGTCTGGCAGCAGAATCGACCCAGTGAAAGGTTAAATACTGTGACTCCCAGGAAGAACCTTGGGAACTCAGGAAAGCCTGTTGGCATAGCAAGGGTCTAAGAGCCTCGGAGACCCATTGCTGGGCTGTCACAACCAGAAAGGCAATAATCTGTCCCTGTAATGAATTCGGCCCCACTGCATCCGGCTGTCCCAGCTTTAATTAACCGACAGCAGTGCCAGCACTGGGGTGGCTGGGCCAGACAGTGATGGAGACGCAGGGAAGGTCTGTGCCAGCCAGGAAGGGTGTCTGGCTCAGCAGGCAGCCTTGGCCTCTGGCCCATGCTCCAGGATGCCAAGAACTAGCCACCAGACCTCCCCCTTCCCCGGTTTGTGATTCAGCCTGGTGCCCACCTGGCAAGCAGGACTGTAACTACTTAGTGTTGGGTGTCCAACTGAGCTGGGCATCTGACCGTTACCCAGGCGAGGATCTGGGTCTGATGCCTTACAGAGCTTGGGGCTGAAGTTGAGGGTATGAGGTGGACAATCTCATATCCTTTGACTGGACATGAGACAGGAGGAGAAGGACTCTGACTGTAGGAAGACAGAAGTGTCAGGCTCAGAAGACCTGCTGGTCACCTGGAGTAGCCAATCGGAAGCAGAACTCCCTCGGGGGTGGGGCTAGCATGAGCCCTCCTGGAGGATCTGCTTGCCTTCTATCCCACCAGGGAGTTCATTCTGCCCAGTGGGCCTTATTAACCTTACCCCCTGAGGCTGGGAGAGCTACAGAGCAAGTTCAGGGTGTATTCCAGCTGCATGCCAAGACATTGTTCCCCTCCTCTTTTCCCTCCTGACTCCCCACCGTGCCCTTGGTGGTTGGCTCCTGGTACAAGGAAGAGAGAAGGGAGCTTTTGGGGCACAGCCAGGAAGCTCTTGCTAGCGTTGTGAGCCCTGATTCCAGCTGTGTCAGAGGCCAGCTGTGTCACCCTGGAAAGTTACAGATTTCTGTATGACTTGGAATCTTCTGCAGTGGACCCGTAAGTCCATCAAGGTGTCAGCTGAAGCTGTTATACAGAGATGGGGTTGGCTCACTCACCACAGACACGCACACAGCCTGCCTTCTCAAGTGCCAAGTCCTTTCCCATCACTGTGGCCCACAGTTCAGGCTTTGGAGAGCTCCTAGAATTACAGGCACCAAGGACTTATCCCAGGGTATCTATGCTTCACAGAGGCTGTCTTCTCCCACCACCTGCAGGATGACCACACCTTGAAGAGCATCACAGGACCTTCACAGTTGAGCCCCAGTATCTGGCAGGGACAAATGAGCAGAGGTTTACTAAATACGTGCAGGGGACTGGGAACACCCACACACACTTAAAAATAATAAAAATCATTCTTTAAAAAAAAAATTAAAGGGGTTGGGGATTTAGCTCAGTGGTAGAGCGCTTGCCCAGCAAGCGCAAGGCCCTGAGTTCAGTCCTCAGCTCCGAAAAAAAAAAAAAAAAATTAAAGTGGGGGGGGGGAGTGACCCAGGCAGAGCCAAAAGCTTGGAGGTGGTAATTGCCTTCACACTTGCTGCCAGAGAAGCAAGCAGGAGAACAGCAAGTGTGAGAATTCTCGGAGGAAGTCATCCTGCGGATGGCTGATGTGGTTTTCTCTAGCAATCACCTGGAAATAAGCAGGGGAGGGAAGGAGAGCATTAGCCGGGGCTTGACCTGCTAGCGTGCGTGAGGGGATGGAGAGAGAGAACGGATAGAGATGTAAGACAGGCAGGAACTGGAATCCTCCATAGACTGCTTTGGGAGCAGGAAGGCCCCACAAAGGTTAGGGTCATGGGGACAGTTCGTGCAACTTTCCCAAGGTGGGGTGACGCCTCACTCCTGATGTCGTCTAGGATAGTCAGATTTCTCAGTCCCCCATGTGAGTACGGGGGAATCGAACTCAGGTCTTCAGGCTTGACAGCAAGCGTTTCTACCTGCTAAGCCATCATGTGACCAGATCTACACCAGCTGGGAATGCAAGAGGAGAGTGAAATTTTTCCTGGTTACCCCGGGAAGGGACAGGACAGCCACCAGGAGGCGCCTTTGGAATGTAGTCAGGGCCCACGTCTGACTCTGCGGCCCTCGCTTTGCAGGATCTTTATCCCCAAGAAGCACCGGGCACGCTTCGACGAGGTGGTGTCGCAGGGTCTGCTGGGCAAGCTGTGCCGTGCTCGGAGGGCGCAGGGCGCGCAGCGTTTGCGCCGGAGCCGCAGCGAGGAGCGTCCCGAGCGCCTCCTAGTGTCCACGCGCGCCAGCGCCGCGCCGCGCCGTCCTGATGAGCCGCCCCCGCGCAAGGCGGCCTCGCTGCTGGGCGGCCGCACCGGCCCTGGGGGCCCTCGCAGGTATGCGCGCGGGTGACAGCAGGGGACATCTCCCGATCGCGCGCGAGCTTGGGTCGGAGACTTGTACAGTGGGTATCGGGGAGGACAAGGACATGAGACATCCGCCCCCTGAGCCCTGGTCTTCTGTCCTCAGGATGAGACAGAGAAGGTCACCCACCTCCAACCCCATCCCATCCTTTCCCCCAGGACTGTTCGAGTCTACAAGGGCAACAAGAGTTTCGGCTTCACTCTGCGCGGTCATGGACCAGTCTGGATTGAATCTGTCCTGCCTGGTGAGGGATGGGCAGGTTACCCTGCGTGCCTAAGATCAGGGATGAGATGAAAAACCTTGTTGTAGCTCTCTCTGGTAATGCTATCCGTGCCTGCTAGTCACATTGCACCCAAAGTTAAGAAGCAGAGAATAAGGGCTGGGGAGATGGCCCGATGGTTAGAGCAATTGTTGAGTAGACGTGAGGACCAGAGTTTGGATCCCCAGAACACATAGAAACTGCTGGGTGCGATGGTAACCTGTGGGTAATTCCAGTCTTGGGAGGAGGAGATGAGTCGCCAGAGCAAGCTGGCTAGCAGACAAGCCATGTGGATGAACTCCAGGTTTGATTGAGAGACCCTGCCTCAGTGAACAAGGTGGAAGGAAGATCAGTGGAGGATGACATCAATCTCTGGCCTCTACATACATACCCACACATGCATGCACATTCATTCACACATGTACGTGCACTACTACACACATGAAAACACACGTACACACATGCATGCCACATGCACATACATGGAAAAAGGAAAAAGGAAAAAAAAGCAGAGGGCGGTAGAGGTCAGTACTCGGCTTACCGTCTCTACTTTAGGCAGTCCAGCCTCCCTGTCCAGGGAACATCTCTGCCCATGGTTAAAAGGGGTCTCCTCGCATGAGTTACCACGATGAAGACATCCCCCCACATTCTCAGAGGCTAACTTTAATTGAGATTCCTCACAGGTGTGCCTGGCGGCCTGCCCCCCCCCCACCACCACCACCAAGTGATTCTAGACTCTGTCCAGTTGACAATATTAACCATCACAGTGACTTTGAGCAATGTCCATGGGCTCTTGGGTCTAGGGGCTGGGGCCCTTCTGACTGCCTAGTTCCTGGTCCCAAACTGATGGAGGCATGTGGACAGTGGCCCAGATGACTCTCTAGAGGAGGTGTGTTCAGGGTGTGGGCTGTGGGTTGGTTGGTCTGCATGTGAAATGCAGGCTTACAGGTGAGTCCTTTTCTACGCCTCAGTTATATCTAAATCTCATTTCTCTTCTTTTTTGAATTACACTTATTTATTTTGAGGAGGAGAGATGGGAGCACACATGTGCCATCCTGTGTTTGTGGGGAGGTTAGATGACAACTTATAGGAGTCAGTTATGTCTACCATGTGGGTCTCAGGGGTCAAACTCAGGTAGTCAGGCAAGCGTTCTTACTCCCTAAACCATCTCGACAGTCCCGAGTCTCACTTCTCACCTGTAAAATTGAAGAAAGGTTATCTGGCTCGCACATCGGGGTTGAGAGGGGAGAGTCCCACACAATGCCACGATGAGGCGGTCAGCTGACTGTATACCTTCTCTGTCCTCCAGGCAGCCCCGCTGAAAATGCCTCCCTCAAGTCAGGTGACCGGATCCTCTTTCTCAATGGACTGGACATGAGGTCAGGAGCCCCTGAGGTGTCTTGTGATCTTGGTGATGAACCATCCCCCAAGACTTTTGCCACTTGGGACACTAACAGTGGCCCTGATCCCCTTCTAACATATGTCCTATGGCCTATATCTCCTATGCCTATCCATCTTCCATGGAAGACTATTTTTTTCCTGTATGGGGAATCAAACACTTGGTTAGGCAAACACTTTCCCAGAGCTACATCCTCAGCCCTTTATTTAAAATTTTTTTTTTTTTAGACAGTGCCTCATTCTGTATCCCAGGCTAACTTGGAACTCATTATGTAGCTCAGACTTGCTTGAATTCATGAAAATCCACCTGCCTCCAATGAGTGCTAGATTTCAGGCATGAGCTACCCTACCAGCCCTTTTTAAATTTTTTGCTTTGAGACAAGGTCTTGCTTAGTTGTCCAGGCATCTTGGACTTGCTATATAGTCCAGACTGGCTTCAAATTCTGCAAAATCTTAAAATCCTCCTGTCTCGGCTCCCCAAGTGCTGAGATTACAGTTGTGTGCCACCATGCTCACCCAGGAGTAGGGATTCCACTTGAATCCATCTTTCCAACCAAAAACGTTACAGCTACATGTTGGGGACATAGATTGGAAAAGACCGATTGTTTCTTGCTCTGGAGAGGAGTCCTGCCTGGACTGACATGGAAATAGCTCCTTCTCAGCCCAGGAATGCCAAGGCCAGGATATCTACAGGCCAAGCTGTCCAATGCCTGGGGCTTCTGCTGCACAAGATCTTAACTTCTATGAAAGTTAGGGTCCTGGCTAGTCCTGATGAACGGTGGATTTGCTGGGTGACCTCTACATGATGGACAGAGCTCACTCGTCAGGCCCTCCTGGGCCCTCTCCTTTGCAGGAACTGCTCCCACGACAAGGTGGTGTCCATGTTGCAAGGCAGTGGCGCAATGCCCACGCTGGTGGTAGAGGAAGGACCTGTCCCTTTCGCCAGCGGTGAGACTATCAAGCCATAGATTTCCTGGACTGTTTTGTTGGTCGCTTCCTAGGCACGCCGCCAGGGGGTGCTACAGAGCCTAACACTCAGCGTTCAATGCTGTTCCATGCTCTCTACAAAGGCCCTTTCCAATGTATTGCATGCCCCAGCTCAAGAAGGCTGCTGACCCCAGCTGCCTGGGAAACTGCACCTAACCTGGTGACTCCGGGTCACCCTTACCTCCCCATGCCTGTGATCCCCTGCAGATTCAGACTCTTTGGATTCCCCGACCCGGTCATCGGCTCTCACCTCACTGCAGTGGGTGGCGGACATCCTGCCTTCCAGTATCCGAGTCCAGGGGAGGACCTTCAGCCAGCAGCTGGACCACCTCCTCACTCCTCCCGAGCGCTATGGAGTCTGCCGGGCTCTTGAGAGCTTCTTCCAGCACAGGTGCCCTGGGCAGAGAGGTGATAGGGACCTAACCTGTTTGGGCCCTACCCAAGTCCCACCTAAACCTGGCAATCCTGGTCCTCTGAGAGAAGGCTCTAAGAAGGCCATAGCTAGTATCAAGGGAGTTGAGGTGCCCTCGAACAAACCCCAACTTTTAAATTTATTCCTTTATTTACTTTTGAGACCTGGTCTTGCTATGTAGCAACTGGCTGGGCTGGAACTCACAGAGATCAGCCTGTCTCCACATCCTGACTGAATTATATAGCATGTGAGTTATATTGTGCAATATATTCAGTCATTTATTTAAATTTAATTTTTTAATTTAAATAAATTTTTAATTAGAAAAATATGTGTGTAGGTATTTTGCTTGCATGTAAGTGCACCGCATGTGTGCAGTACCCATGCAGGCCAGAAGAGGGTGTCAGATCTCCTGGAACTGGAGTTACAGGTGTTTGTGAGCTGCCAACTAGGTCCTGGAAACTGAACCTAGTTTAGTTAGTAGCACAATTAGTAGCACAAATGCTTTTTTTTTCTTTTGGGTTTTGGAGACATGGTTTCTAGACAGCCCTCCCTCTATAGACCAGACTGGTCTCGAACTCAGAGAGATCTGCCCACCTCTGCCTCCTGAGTGCTAGGATTAAAGGCGAATGCTACCACTGCCCCGAAGCACAAAGTAGATCACTGAGTCATCTATCTCTCTGGCCACAATTCATTCATTGAATTGTACAATTCAGTGGTTTGGGGGTTTTGTTATACTTGCAAGTATATGTAACCATTGCCATTGTGAATTTTGGAACTTTATTACATGTAAAATGAATGCCAACAACTTTCTGTGACATGCTCCTTCATCTTCCTCCCCTAATGTTTCTTTAAAAAACCATTTATTTATTTATTATTGATTGAATATGGGAGTCATGCATGCCACAGTGGCCATAGGAGTCAGAGTGTTTGCCTGCTAGGCCATCTCCTCAGCTCAGTAGATGTTATTTTTACCTCCAACTTTGCAAAAGAAAAAAAAAAGTTAAGTTGCTTGAGAAAGGTCAGTTAGTTGGTAAATGGCAAAGCTGGGATTTGACTATTACATTTTCTTTTTTGGTGGTGGTGGTGCTGGGAAGGTGCTGGGAATCAAACCCAGAACCTTGGGTATTATACTAGGTAAGTGCTCTGCCAATGAGCGAACATCCCCAGCCCAAACTGGCATTTGAATCAGAGCAGACTGCCTCTGCAGACTGCTTTCCTGCCCTCTCTGCTCTATCTTTCAAAGGCATGAGCTGAATTCCAGGGCCTGGAACCACCACCTGGTCCACACCCCCCGAGTGATGAGGCTCCCTGCTTCTGCACCTTCACCTGCAGGAACATTGACACCCTCATTGTCGACGTGTACCCCGTTCTGGACACACCTGCTAAGCAGGTGCTCTGGCAGTTCCTCTACCAGCTGTTGACCTATGAAGAGCAGGAGCTGTGTCAGGAGAAGATCGCGTGCTTCCTGGGCTACACGGCCATGACAGGTGAGCAGTCCCTGGGGGCAGCTGCCAGCTGCCCTGCCAGTCAGGTGAACAAGGAAACACCTGTCCTCACCTCCCAGAGGTCTGGCAGCCACTCTAGGCCCCTGCCCCACATATGCATGCCCATATGCCCGGTGTCTGGCAGATACATGCTCAACCCTGGGGCTTGGCTGGGAGGACTGTGCCTGCCCGGATCATCCTTCATGCGGCAAACATGGCATGACTGGAAACTGCTCGGTTCTTCATCTTTTCCTTTTCCTCCTCCTCTTCCTCCCTCTCTCCTCTCTCAAACTGGGTCTCATGCAAGTCAGGCTGACCTCAAACTCACATGTAGCCTAGGCTGGCCTTGAACTCCTGATCCTCCTGCCTGCATCTCCCATGTGATGGGATTTTGGGTATGTGCTACCTCAGCCAGGTTTTCTTTTTACATCAATAGGGATGGAACCCAGGGCCTTGCTCATGCTAAGCAAGTGCTCTCCCACTGAGCTATAGCCCTGCCCTTGTGTGAGAACCCATAGCCAAGCATGGTGGTTCAGACCTGTAACTTCAGCACTTGGGGAGGCTGAGGCAGGAAGATTCTAAGTTTGGGGCCAGCCTGAGACTCACTATGTAGCTGTCTTAGGGTTTCTATTGCTGTGAAGAGACACCATGACTATGCAACTTTTACAAAGGAAAGTATTTAATTGGGGCTGGCTTGCAGTCCAGATGTTTAGTCCATTGTCATCATGACAGGAAGCATGGTGGCAAGCAGGCAGACGTGGTGCTGGAGAGGTAGCTGAGAGTTCTACATCTGGATCTGTAAGCAGCAGGAAGAGAGAGTAACACTGGGCCTGGCTTGAACATTTAAAACCCCAAAGCCCACTCCCCAGTGACACACTTCTTCTAACAAAGCCACACCTCCTAATAGTGCCATGCCCTCTGAGCCTATGGGGGCCATTCTCATTCAAACCACCACAGTAGCCCATAGAGAGGCCTTGTCTCAGAATCAAAACAAGAGGCTGGGGATGGCTCAGTAGATAAAGCATAGGGCAAACAGGAGGACTAGAGTTCAGATTCCCAGCACCCATATAAATGCCAGGTGGGTGAGGCAGACCACTTTAATACTAGCACTTGGCAGGTGGGGGGCAGGGGATCCCTGAAGCAAACTGGCTAGCTAGATTAGCAAAACAGATGATAAACTCCAGGTTCCAGTGAGGGGCCCTGCCTCGATATATAAAGTGAAGAGTGACAGAAGATCCACCTCTGACCTCCACACGTACACACGAGCACATACACGAAGGCACACGCACATGCAAATATCAATACACACTTACACATGCAAACAACATTTAATTCATGTGTCCTCTTCACCGTTTACACATTCATCAGTACATGTCACCTGGTTCATGGCCCCATGGTCAGATCACCCTGGCTGGTAGACTCCAGCGCACAAGCACACGTGCAGGGGTCTGTCCGGCCAAGAGCGACCTCACTGTTCCACCGCTACCTACAGTATTAGAGTATGCCCCCTCCCCCCCCCTCCCGCAGAGAAGAGTTAGTAATTTAAGTACTTGCTGTGGAAGTGTGAGAACCGATCCAAGTTCAAATCCCCAAAGCCATGAAAGTACTGGGTGAGCATAGTGCCCTGTACCTTACCTGCTGCAGGCACTCTGCAGTCACGGTCCCTGTGGTTTGCTGTTGCTGACCCTTCAAGGCACCTACTCCCTACAGCCGAGAGGATTGAGGAAGGCTGAGGAATTTTAGCATGAAGCTCGCGGTCCCCGGAAGGGCAGCATGTGGCCAGAACCTTTTTAATTTGCCCTAAACAAGTTCTATTGGTTGTCAGTGAGCAGCCTGGAATAAGCACGGGGTGTTGGGACCCATGGCATGGTATCCTAAGAAGAGCCCTTAGAGTTGGAGTTGGGTGGCAGTGGCACAGGCCTTTAATCCCGGCACTCGGGAGGCAGAGGTAGGCAGATCTCTGTGAGTTCAAGGCCAGCCTGGTCTACAGAGTGAGATCCAGGACAGGCAACAAAACTACACAGAGAAACCCTGTCTCAAAAAATAAATAAATAAATAAAAGAAGATCCCTGTTGGGAGCGGCATCAGCCTCACTATGGTTTCCATCCTTCAGCTGCTTTTCTTGCTCTGGGAACCTGGTTTCTGGTCTCAGGACTTCTGCCTGAGCATTACTCTAAAGAGCTGGGGATAGATGCATTTCAGTAGTAGAGCACCTAGAATCCCCCAGTGAGGGGCTGGGGTGTGGCTCAGTGGTAGAGCACCTGACTAGAATCCTCCAGTGAGGGGCTGGGGCCACGGCTCAGTGGTAGAGCTCTTGCCTAGAATCCTCCAGTGAGGGGCTGGGGTGTGGCTCAGTAGTAGAGCACCTGCCTAGAATCCCCCAGTGAGGGGCTGGGGTGTGGCTCAGTGGTAGAGCTCCTGCCTAGAGTCCCCCAGTGAGGGGCTGGGGTGTGACTCAGTGGTAGAGCATCTGCCTAGAGTCCCCAGTGAGGGGCTGGGGTGTGACTCAGTGGTACAGCACTGCCTAGAATCCCCCACTGAGGGGCTGGGGTGTGACTCAGTGGTAGAGCACCTGCCTAGAATCCTCCAGTGAGGGGCTGGGGCCACGGCTCAGTGGTAGAGCTCTTGCCTAGCACACACAAGGTACTGGGTTTCATCTTCAGCAGTACCTAAGAAAAACTGTGGCAGTATCCTGGGGACAAGGCAGGAAGGCCCCAGGGCCCAGAGGCTACATATCGGTGGTGGTGACTTCTTCCCTCACCTCCCTTGCTTATGGAGGCTGACAGGACAAAGGCCAAATGCCAAACCCTGCCTGTCCCACCACAGAACCTGAATCCTCACTGGACCTGGAGCCAGAGTCCACACCAGAGCCCACACCAGAGCCACAGCCACGGAGTTCCCAGAGAGCTTCTTCCATGTGCCGTCGCAGCCTGCGCTCCCAGGGCCTGGAGGCCAGCCTTAGCTGTGGTAAGGCCCCATGTAGACAGCTGGCACTTCTTTCTCCTCCTGTAAATCGGTGTCTGTGAAATGATGAGTGTGTTAGGCAAGGTTCTCTAGAGGGACAGAACCCACAGAGTGAATGTGAATCACAAAGAGGATTTATTAGACTGGCTTCCGTGATGACAGCTGAGTGGTCCAGCAATGGCCCTCTGCATGCTGGAGAGGCTGGACATCCAGTAGCTGCTCAATCCATGAGCTGGAGGCATCGGTAGTCCCAGGTCCCAGTTTATCACTGAAGGCCTGGAGGATGCCAAAGAGCTACTGATCCAGTCTACACTGGGAGCCTGAAGAATGTGGGTTCTGATGGCAGCAGCAACAGCAGCAGCAGAACAGATTCACTCACCAGCAAGGAAGGAAGGCAAGCAGGCAAAGCCCTACTTTCCCATCAGATCTCTTTCTATCTGCGCTTCTGCAGGAAGGTCCTGCCCACTTCAGGACAGAGTCTTCCCTTCTTAGGTAATCCTTCCAGGCCGTACCTTCACAGACCCACCTCAAAGTGTGACTCTGCTGACTCCAGATCCAAATGAGCTGACAACCAAGATTAAACATCACAATGAGGAATCAGGAACCTGGGGGACAGTGAGGCGGAGTGCTGACTGTGCAGGTCTGGACTGAGCCATAAAGCTCAGAAAGGATAACAAGGTTTCCATGGCACCTTCCTGGCAGGTCCTGGTGATTGCCCTGAGATGCCTCTACCTCTGATCCCAGGCGAGCGTCAGGCTGGTGATGGCACATCCCTCCCAGAGACCCCCAACCCCAAAATGGTGAGGCCTTCCTGCCTTCCAGATATAGTCAATGATCATGGGACTGGGTGGCTGGTGTGTGGAGAACCCTGACTAAAGTTTCCCAGCAGCTGTTTCAGACTGGGGCAAACCGTCCATGCGTGGTCTCTGGGGTCCTGTTGAGACCACAAGGGAACAGTACGAGAAGGGGTCCGACTCATCTCCATTGTCCACTAGATGTCAGCTGTCTACGCAGAGCTTGAGTCACGACTGAACAGCAGCTTCAAAGGGAAGATAGGGACTGTGTCCAAATCCCGGGCCTCTCCGCCAGTCCCCAGCCTGGTAGGCACAGCAGGTATGGCCTCAGCCAACCTCTGGTCCTGAAGGGGTACTGGCTTCTATCCTTCTAGCTAGAAGGTGTGTGCAGCTGGGCCGTACATAGGGAAGCACGGAGAACCTCTGTGCATGTGCGATGGGTCATCAAAGTTGGCTTGTCCCAGCCTCGTCATGTGTCCTTTGTAGTCTCCACCCCAGCTGGCGATCTGGGAAAGCAGAGAGTTCCCCCAAACAAGTCCTCAAGTTAGCATGTGGCTATGGGATACACCAGAAAGTGCACGCGTTGCTGCGTGAGCAGCAGAGCCACGAAGGTTGTTTCTCTGCAGCCTGAGCAAGACCAGCTGTTGTGCCCTTAACACAATCCTGCTGTCTTAGCTACTCAGGAAGCTGAGGCAGGAGGATCATAGTTCAAGGCCTGTCTGGGCTACAGAATGAGTCCAGGGGCTAGCCTGGGCAACTTATCAAGACCCTGCCTCAAAACTTTAAGGAAGTGGGGCTCAGAGTCCAGTGGGCAGAGTGTTTGCGGGGCATGCATGAGGTCCTGAGGTCCATCCTCAACCCCACAAAAGAGCGGGTGTGGGGGAGCACCCCTGTGATGGAGCACTCAGGAGATGGAAGCAGGAAGATTAGACGTTCAAAGTCATCTTCAACCTATATAGGGAGTTCAAGGCCAGCCTGAGCCACGTGAGACTCTTTCAAAAAGATAAAAATAAACTTTTTAAGTGGGGAAAAGGGGTCTGGAGATATAACTAGCTGACAGGGTACTTGCCAGGCATGTGCAAGGCCATAGCTTTGGTTTCTACTACTAAAGAAGAGGGAGGCAGATCCTTCCACCCCCTATGATCCTCTTGTGTGTCTGAGGCTTGCTGGGCAGGGGTGGCACCTCGTGATTCTTGTCTGAGGCCTATGGAAAGGTCCCTCATGGATCTTGGGGAGACCTTTGGGGTGTGTTCCCAGGTGAGCTGGGGTATGGCATGAACTGAAGCCAAAAGATATGCTCTGCTTCGTGTGCTGTGGTCTCAGGGGAGAGCCTGGGAGGCACTAGCCCAGAGACAGAAAGCATGTCTTAGGACAGACAGCTGACCCACTCCTCCACCCCATGCTGGGTACTGGCTGATAGACTTCCTCTCCTTCCACCGCCAACCCAGGGCCCAGGACCCTGTCTGGAGTCTCGTGGCCCGGCGAGCGGCTCCTGCCCTCTCCCTGCTATGACCCGCTGTGCTCTGGGGGTCTGGCCTCCCCCAGCAGCTCCGAGTCCCACCCGTACGCCAGCTTGGACAGCAGCAGGGCACCCTCCCCACAGCCAGGCCTTGGATCCATCCACCCGGACAGCCCCCCAAGCCCAGACCCCATCCGGCCGCCCAGCCGCAGGAAGCTCTTTGCCTTCTCCCGCCCCGTGCGGAGCCGAGACACCGACCGCTTCCTGGATGTGCTGAGCGAGCAGCTGGGTCCTCGGGTCACCATCGTGGATGACTTCCTGACACCGGAGAATGACTATGAAGAGGTGGGCATGCCAATGGATGTGGAGAGTTGAGGGGTGGAGGTCTACAGAGGGTGTAGTGTCCCCCAGAGGCTGCAGGAGGCCTGTTTCATGGCAGACTGCCTCAGACTGCTTCACCCAGCCTCAGTCTGTGCTGGAGTCTGTCTAGGCTACCCATTTCCTGTCTGGAGCCATTCCAAGTTATCCCCTGTCCATACTTATCTCACCCTTGCCTGAGGCTATCATATATATATTTTATCTCAGGTTACTCCATTCCTCATCCTAGGATGCCCAGCCTACAGCCTCAGGCCAAATTCACCTTTCCCTAAAACTACCTCCATATACTTACTGTGTCTCAGGCTAGCCCATTATTTGTTTCAATCTGTCCTCCATGCACTCTCAAGCTATCCTACTCACAGCTTCAGGCCAAGGCAGCAGACTGCCTATCCTGGTCCCTAGCTTCTCTTGCTCTCCACCTACTTGTCCGTTTTACCCACATACAGCTGCCCCCCGTCTGCAGGGCTCCAGCCTGACTTCCCACTCACCTTGTTCTCCCCTGGACAGATGAGCTTCCACGATGACCAGGGCAGCTTTGTGACCAATGAGAGAAGCAGCGCCAGCGACTGCATCAGCAGCAGCGAGGAGGGTAGTTCTCTGACCTACTCCTCCATCTCCGACCACATCCCCCCGCCCCCGCTCAGTCCACCACCACCACCACCCCTGCCTTTCCACGACCCCAAACCCAGCTCCCGCGCCTCCGATGGTCCCCGAGGACCTCCTCAGTCATTGACCAAACCCCTCACCCAGCTCAGCCACCCAGTCCCACCCCCACCTCCACCACCCCTACCCCCACCCGTGCCCTGCGCACCCCCCATGATATCCCGGGGCGTGGGCCACCGCCGGAGCGAGACCAGCCACATGAGTGTCAAGCGCTTGCGCTGGGAACAGGTGGAGAACTCAGAAGGCACTATCTGGGGTCAGGTAAGGTGACCTAGGGACCAGTGGCTCTCTCAACTGGGTGAGTGGTCTGGACAGTAACATTGAAGGCAAGATCCATCTTCCAGCCCACTGCCACTGCCTCCTACCATCCTCCTCTTCTTTAGCTTCCTTTAAAGTTACGTTTATTAAATTATATTGTGTGGGGGAGGGGGCATGGGTGTGGAGGTCAGAGGACAACATGTAGGAGTCAGTTCTCTCTTTCCGTCACATAAACCCCAGGGCTTTAACCCAGGTCACCAAACTCATGAAAGCACCTGAGCCATCTTCTAATATCAACTAGAATATTCTTTGATCCTTTTTACCCTGAGCAGAGAAGTGACAGCCTTCCCAATGGCAAATGTGTTCCCAGGCCAAAAGCTCAGCAAAACCCATCACTCCTGAGGCTGGACTAGTTCTCTTAGATTCTAGTTTTTTACTCATGGCAATCCTCCTGCCTCAATGCCACCAAAGTGCTGGGATTATAGGAATGAGCCAGTACAACCAGCTCAACTGCTCTTTTAAATATGGCCAGGGGAATCTGGGTACAGTGGCTCATGCCTCCAATTCCAGCACTTAAGAGGCTGAAGCCAAACTCCAAGCACATGAATCAGGTATCATTACTGCACGCCTGTAATCCCAACACTTGAGAGGGTGGAGGCAGGAGGATCATTTCAAGGTCATCCTTGTCTACATAGTGAGTTTGAGGCCAGCCTGACCTGCAAGTTTCTCATCCTGGGTTCCTGGAGACCATATTTCTACACGCTTAAGATGAGTCCACAAACTTCCTCCCCAGTGTCATTCCCCTGGCCCCCGAGACTGAACACACCTGGCCGCCCACCCTGCCAGGCATTCTTGCCCAGCAGCCTCATTCTGAGACTATTTCTCTACTTGTCTCTCTTCCTTTGGGCTCTTTCCCCCGACTCTCAGCTCCTTATGGCCGTTGCAGGGGGTCACCTCCTGTATAAACTGTCTCAGCCCTTTGGTCCAGCTTCCAGCCCCTGGCCTCTCACAGCTTCAGCTGTCCTAGCGCTAGCTCATCCTGCCTAAGGCAGGGATGAACCCATTCCCTGCAAAGGAAAACCTCAAGCGGGGTATGGTGGTACCTACCAGTCACCCCAGCACTCAGCAGACTGGGGAAGGAAGATTATGAGTTCGAGGACTGTCTGGGCTACATAACAAGTCTTTATCTCAAAAGGAGGGTGGGAGAGAGCTGGGAGATGGCTCAATGGGTAGCTCCTGCCATGCAAGCATCAGTACCTGAGTTCAGAACCCCAGCACCCCTGTGAAAATCTGGACACAGTGGTGTACATCTGTATCTTCAGGGCTGAGGAGGGTGGAGACCAACAGATCCCTGGAGCTCATTGGCCAACTAATTTAGCCAATCAGTAGAGCTCTAAGTTTAGCGATGAGATGATCTAAAAAGATAGGGTAGATGGAGCTAAAGATATAGCTTAGTAGGTAAGAGCACTTACTGCTCAAGCATGAGGCCTGAGTTCAAATCCCCAGTACTCAAGTTAAGGAAAAAAAAAAAAGGAGCCAGGAAGTGGTGGCGCATGCCTTTGATCACAGCACTCGTGAGGCAGAGGCAGGTGGATCTCTGTGAATTCAAGGCCAGCCTGGTCTAGAAGGCAAGTTCCAGGACAGCCAGAGCTACAGAGAGAAACCCTGTCTCAAAAAACCAAAAAGGAAAAAAAGGTGAAGCAAAATAAAGACACCAGAAGTCTACCACTGGCCTCCACACATATGCATACACATGGGCATGTATGCGCACATAGTCTAGACACACACTAAAGGAGACTCTAAAACAGGACAGACCCCTCAGATCTCTCTTTGGCCCTCTTGGTTGTCGCCGGTTCCATCTCTCCTGCTCCAGCCCACTTCTTCATGGATAGAGTACCAAGAATGGCTGCCTTATTGGTCAGAGGGAAGTCAGTTTCTTATCTTGTAACTTGGATTATACAGCATTTCTTTCTTTTTTTTTAAATTATGTGTGTGCATTTGGATATGTGCACATGAGTACAGGTGCCGTCAGAGGCCAGAAGAGGGCATCAGGTACCCTGGAGCTGGAGTTATCAGTAATTATGAACTGTCTGATGTGGGTGTTGGGAACCAAACTCTGCAAGAGCAGCAAGTATTCCTAACTGCTGTGCCATCTCTCCAGCTCCTGTTTATAGCATTTCTTTCTTTCTTTTTTTGGGGGGGGGCGGGGAGTGGTTCAAGACAGGGTCCTTCTGTGTAGCCTTGCCTCAATTTGTGGACCAGACTGGCCTCAAATTCACATAGATCCACCTGCTTCTACCTCCCAAGTGCTGGGATTAAAGGTGTGCACCACTACCACACACCTAATTTATTTCCTTCTTTCCTTCCTTCTCTGTTTGTTTATTTATTTATTTTTGAGGCAAAGTGTCACTGTGTAGACCAGGCTGGCCTGAAACTCATTGGCCTCCTGGGTACTAGAATTAAAGGCATGCACCACCACATCCAGCTTCTATTTAATGTTTCTTGCAGCCTCCTCTTACTCTTGCCTTTCCCTTGGACCTCCTGGGCCCTATCTCTTTGGGAGGCCCCAGGATGGATTTCAGAGGACAAAGGCAGGCTAACTGCCTGGGCTCTTCCTGCTCTGAACTTCCCGTGATCCCTTGCAGCTTGGGGAGGACTCTGACTATGATAAGCTGAGTGACATGGTGAAATACCTGGACCTGGAGCTCCACTTCGGCACCCAGAAACCTTCGAGTGAGTGGCCTGATGGCCCTGGGCCATGTCAGCAAGCCACACTGCCTGCTGCCTTCTGGTCATTCTCTAATTCCCAGACCCCAGAGCATGCACTTATTGCTTTTGTGTCTTCAAACTTCCAAGCCCTTCTGCATGCTTGAATCCCTTGACAACCCTGCAAGCTAGATCCTGCAACCACGTTGACTTACTTCTTAATGAAGAAGCCCAGAGAGACTAGGTAGTTTGCACAAAGTCACAAAACCAGGATGGGGGAGTAGAAGGTATCTGTGAAGATCCTTTTCAGTCTCCCTCTTCCCCTAGTCCTTTCTGGGTATCTCCTTGTAGCAATTGAACGTGACTCCAAATATCTGCAGTCAGTTCTTTTACGAACCACAAACTTGGAAAGTGGTTGGTTTTTATTGTTCAGTCTGAAGGGTGTAGGGAAAAGGGCATATGAGGAGATTGCAGTGTAGGGTCAGGCAAGCCACGTGGTAAATGCCTTAGGCGGGATCTGGGGGTCCACGACTCAAAGGCTGAGAAATGAGGGGAGTTTGGATGACTGGAGCTGATGTAGTTAAGGTGATGCATGCCGGGAAGAGGGTACCTGGCTACTGGTTGTGGCCACATCTGTCCCTTGGCCCTGCCACGGCAGCCCTAGTCTAGACTCCCGTTCCCCATTAAATTGTTCAGTTTCCCTTCCAGAGCCAGTGCCCGGCCCCGAGCCCTTCAGGAAGAAGGAAGTGGTGGAGATCTTGTCCCACAAGAAGGCCTACAATACCTGTGAGAAGCCTTAGGGGCCCGTCCTCTGGGCTACAAAAGCTGAGACCCGCAGAAGGGTGGGGTGATCGAAATTCTGATGTAGGGGTTGGGACCTGTCACTCGGCTAAATAGGCCGCCTCTCAGGGTAGGAGGATCCCCCACCTAGATTCAGGTGCACACCTAGGACCCTCTATTGGCCACGCTCACAATCATATCATCTACTTCGTTCCTCCCTAGTTCCCCGCCCCGCCCACAGGTCTCGCCCATCTTCCTGGTATACGTCTTTGGGGATCCCACTCCTTTTCAGTCTACAAGACCCCTAGTCTCTGGCTGCGCCCTTGCCACGCCCTTCTCCACTGGGCTCTTCCCTCAGGCCCCTCCTCCCGTATCCCAACTACCCTCCTCCCAGTAGCCGCGCCCCATCAATCATGCCCCCAACTTTTCCCTGAGGCCCCACCCCTTCATTGGGCCCCGCCCTCTCCCCGGTCCCGCCCCCGGCTCACCCTGGTGCCCCGCCCGCAGCCATCCTCCTAGCTCACCTGAAGCTGACCCCCAGCGAGCTGCGGCAAGTGCTCATGAGCATGGAGCCCCGGCGCCTGGAGCCTGCGCATCTGGCGCAGCTGCTGCTCTTCGCTCCCGACGCCGACGAGGAGCAGCGCTACCAGGCTTTCCGCGAGGCTCCGGGCCGCCTTAGTGAGCCCGACCAGTTCGTCCTGCAGGTGCTAAGACCAGCCCCCCGGGCACCCCGCCATAGCTGAGGGCGCCTTCGCCTGGGCCCCTCTGCAGTCAGGAGTTGACTTCTGTCCCAGGTCCCTTGAGGACTGCCCCTGGCCTCCAGTTTAACTCTTCTGATGGCCCGTTCCCACTGGAGGTCAAGGCAGATGGGATGAGAACGTCCCCTAGGGGTCGTGCTAATTTTTCCTAAGGAGTACCCAGCTCAGTAGTCAGAGGATTCCCTCCCCAGGCTGGGCAGTAGGATGAATGAATCCTGGCCCCCTTACTTTCCTGTAGATGCTGTCGGTTCCCGAATACAAGACCCGCCTGCGCAGTCTACATTTCCAGGCCACCTTACAGGAGAAGACAGAGGACATTCGAGGCAGCCTCGAGTGCCTGCGACAAGCATCCCTGGAGCTCAAAAACAGCCGGAAACTTGCCAAGATCCTGGAGGTCAGGCCGCTTCCCACCCCTGCGTGTTTAATCTGATCTACTGTCTCCTGGGGCTTCCAGCCTGGAAACCAAAATCTACACATGTGGGTAGGGGTGGGTTGAGCATATGGACCCCATCAATCCTGCTTTTCTTCCCACAGTTTGTGTTGGCCATGGGTAACTATCTCAACGATGGACAGCCCAAGACCAACAAGACCACTGGCTTCAAGATCAACTTCCTGACAGAGGTGAGGGCCAGCAGTCAACTTGCTCCAGCTACTAGACTCGGAGGTCAAGCCTATGTCCAGTTGTGGCAGGGGAGCCAAGTGTGGTGGCATACACCTGTAATCCCAGCATTTAGAAGGTTGAGGCTCAAGGATCACGAGTTCGAGTCTAGCCTGGGCTAAATAAGAGCCTGATTCATACAACAAATAATGTTCTACATGGGGAGAAGAAAACATTATGCCCACGAAGTTCTTCCCCTGGGTGGGGGAGGGGGAAACTGGCTACACATAAGCCCAGAGGGACTCAAAGAGCAGGCGTATGGAAGGTGACTTCTCCAGCTCAGCTTCAGGATCTAGAAAAGTAGACTTGGGATGGGGAGTAGGAAAGAGTATCAAAAACTAAGAGTTCTAGAAACACAGGAAAAACCTGGTGTCATGTAACCAGAAGCCTGGTGGGCGGGACTTTGAGGAGCATATGTGTGGCATCCCTTGCAGCTAAACTCCACCAAGACAGTGGATGGGAAATCCACCTTTCTTCACATCCTTGCCAAATCACTAAGCCAGCACTTCCCTGAGCTCCTGGGCTTTGCCCAGGACCTGCCCACTGTGCCCCTGGCTGCTAAAGGTAGGCTGGGTTCATGGGTGAGGGAGGCAGATGCATGCTTCTCCTCTGAGTTGGGGATGCAGCCCCATAAGACTGCTCCTTTTCTTACATGCAGTGAACCAACGAGCCCTGACTGGTGACCTGGCTGACCTCCATGGCACGGTCAGTGAGATTCAGGTGGCCTGCCAGAGCATGTCCCCCTCCAGTGAGGACAGGTTTGCTGTGGTCATGGCTGTATCCTCTAATCAGCCTGTGCTAGGGCCAGACTGGACGCTGGGATGGTTGAGTAACGCTGACTGTGGCTTTAGTGGTCAGTGGAGACCCTTGCAGAAATTCCAGGTAGAAGCTGTTGTGTGCCCAGGGATTCTGGGAGAGGATCCATCCTGGGTTATGTAGGGTCCACATGCTTATGCCAAAGCTGAGTAACTATAGATGGAGTTTGTGTGTGTGTGTGTGTGTGTGTGTGTGTGTGAGAGAGAGAGAGAGAGAGAGAGAGAGAGAGAGAGAGAGAGAGAGAGACACTGGAGATTGAACCCAGGGCCTCAGGTATACCAGCATATGTTCTACTGCTGAACCATGCTGCCAGCCCATCACTGGAGGATTCCCAACAAGTATGCTATTGACAAGCCTTGTCCTCAGCCCCTCCCTATGGGATTCTAGGCAAGAGCTCTACCACTGAGCTACACTCCAGCTTCTCACTAGGTAATTGTAGGCAGACACTGCTATTGAACTACACTCCTAGCCCCTCACTGGGGATTCTAGGCAGAGGCTCTACCACTGAGCCACACCCCAGCCCCTCACTGGGGGATTCTAGGCAGGTGCTCTACCACTGAGTCACACCCCAGCCCCTCACTGGGAGATTCTAGGCAGGGGCTCTACCACTAAGCCACACCCCCAACCCCTCACTGGGGATTCTAGGCAGGTGCTCTACCCCTGAGCTACACCCTCAGCCCCTTACTGGGGGATTCTAGGCAAGTACTCTACCACTGAGCTACATCTACATCATTCTTTTTTACTATTTATCTGCTTTTTTTTTTCATGCTGGAAATTGAACTCAAGACAATGGACACAGCTAGGCAAAAACTCTACTGCTGAACTGTATAACCAACCAGTCCACCCTTTATTACTCTTTGGAGACTGAGTCTGTCTGGATTGTCTAGGCTGGCCTCAAACTCACTCTATAGCCCGGGCAGGCCTTGGACTTACAGTTCTCTGGCCTCATCCTCCCAAGGATCTGGGGTGACAGGTCTCTGCCACGAGGCCCATCCATAGTTCCCAAAGTCACGGATATGTTGACGACTGTCCGTCCTCAAGAATGGTGGGCCCAGACTGAAGTCACAAAACACGTGGAGAAGCTTGTCCCGTCAGGTCTTACAAGCCAAAAGCAAGATGAGCGAGGCAGTGGGGAGACTGAATCCAGAGCCTTCTGCATGCCAAATAATTGCTCTCCCACTGAACTGTACACTTTAATTAGGGCCGCTGAGTCTTTTCGCAGGACCTTTTTTTTTTTTTTTTTTGGTTTTTTGAGACAGGGTTTCTCTGTGTAGCTTTGGCACCTTTCCTGGAACTCACTTTGTAGCCCAGGCTGGCCTCGAACTCACAGAGATCCCCCAGGCTCTGCCTCCCGCGTACTGGGATTAAAGGAATGTGCCACCACTGCCCGGCCCCCAGGGCCTTCTTACAGTATACCAGATACTGTCTTAAATCTTGGAGGTCCATAGAGGGAACAAGCTTACCCTTGGAGAACAATGAGCATTTGAACTGTTCTAAATAAAAGCTATAAAAAAAAAAAGGTATTTAAAGTAGAAAGAAAACAAAAAGAAGAAGGAAGGAAAGAAGAAGAAAAAAAAAACGGGAAAAAGAAAAAGAGAAAAGGCCTGCCGTGGTATTGCACACATATATTCAGAGGTAGAGGCAGCAGGATCAGGAATTCAAAGTTATCCTCAGTTTTTTAGCTAGTTCCCAGCCAGCCTGCATTACAAGAGATCCTGTCTCAAATAAACACATAAACCAAGTGTCAGGCAGACAGGTCAGTCCAAGTGGGTGGTCTGAGAAGTGGGCGGTGAGCCCAGCACACTGGGGCTCAAACCTGGAATCCCAGCACTCAGGATGATGAGGTAGAAGGATCTGGAGTTCAAGGTCAGCCTGAGCTGCATAATGAGAGCCTGTCTAAAAACAAAAGAAACCATAACAACAAATCGGACAAAGGGTCAAGAGGCTGAGCAGAATTTCCCAAGACGATAGCGCCGCCTTGTGGAGAGAGCGAGGGAAAACTGAGGCTGTACAGAATGTACACTGTAAATGGATTCTGCATGAAGTGATGGGCGCGGGTGGCCTAGAACCGGGGGCAGGTGGGTGAGGGCTGGGGCGCAGTTCTCTGCCTACAGGAAGGGAGATTCCATCAAAGCAGAGAGGGAGTGGAACAGCTAGGGCTGTCTGGGGTCGCATTCCAGCCAAGGAGGGTAGAACACCCAGTGGCCGTTTCCTTAACCAAGGCCCCCACAGTCCTTCCTGGAAACGGCACAGCCAGCTCTGCGGGCGCTGGACGGGCTGCAGCGGGAGGCCATGGAAGAGCTAGGGAAGGCGCTGGCCTTCTTCGGAGAGGACTCCAAGGCCACTACCTCAGAGGCCTTCTTTGGCATCTTTTCAGAATTCATGAGCAAATTTGAGGTGAGCCAGGGCGGAGGCTGGAGGGGCCCCTCAAGGGAGGTGGGGCTAGGAGAGCATCTTCCCCAAGTCCCGCGGGGAAAGAGTGTCTGTAAGTGGCATGTCCCCTGTCTTTGGTGGGGGTGGGGCCACAGCCTCAGCACCAGCTATCTGGGTGCCAGGAAGAGGCAGGAAGGGTGTCGTGGGTCCCGGGACCACTGACTGACCACTCACTCCTCCCCATCTCCAGAGAGCGCTCAGCGACCTGCAGGCAGGGGATGGCCCACGCAGCTCCGGGATGGTTTCACCCCTGGCCTGGTGATAACTGCCACCAAGCATCTTCTGCAGTCTTGAGCACGGAGGCTGATGCTGGAGGCTGCAACCCCCGAAGGATGTCACAGGGTACTTGATCATGCAGCTTGGCTGCAGGAAGGGCTTGGGTGCGGTGAGGGCCGCAGCCCTGTATCTCCAGCTACCTCAGCTGCTGAGCTCCGCCTGGCCCTCTTCCGCCCATTCTCCTTGGTCTCCCAGACAGCCTACCTGGCTTCCCGTGGCCACACCCTGCCTCGATGCCCACAATGGTGAATAAAATGCTGCTGTGTGTCAGGGGATATCCCACCTGAGGGTGGATTGCAAAGTGGCCACTGGCCTGGAGCAGTTGTTCGTGGCTTGGTGGGAGCACACTACTAGGGATGGACAGAGTTACTTTCTGAGTCTGCTGGAGTGAGCTCCATACCAGAGATGGACACTCCGGGATGAACCCACTAAGCCAGGACCAGGAAGCCTGCAAGGTCTCGGCCTCCATGACCACTGGAGGAAGGAGGGCAGGCAAGATGAAGGCTATGAAACAGAGTTGTAGAGCATGTGGCCAGCATGGGGCAGGAGAGAGAACAGTTTGGGGTATTGAAAACGACTGGAGGAGGGAGGGCCACTGTTATTAGACCTCTGAATCTAGGCTTTATTTTCTTTTATGAATTTATTTAATTTTATTTTTGAGAGGCAAGGGTCTCGTGTAGCCCAGGCTGGCCTCAAACTCACTGTGTAGTCGAGGATAACCTTGATCCTCCTGCCTCCATCTCCCACATGTTGGGATTATAGGCATGTGCCACCACGCTCCATATTCTTACTCGTTCTTTCTCCCTCATATAAGGATTGACTATATAACAGACTGGCCTTCCAATCCACTATGTAGCTCAGGCTGGCCTCCAACTCACCACTATACTCCTGCCTAGGCCTCCCCAGTGCTGGCATTATGTTACTAAGGGAATGAACCAAGGGCCTTGAACATACTAGGTAAGCACTCTACCACCGAGCTACAGCCCAGCCCTCTCTGTACTTTTGGGACGTGTCTTAGTTGTTCAGTCTGACCTTGACCTCACTCCGTATCCCAAGTAGGCCTTGAAATTTTAAGTCTTCTGCTTCAGCCTCCACAATAACTGCCAGGCCTGCACCGCCTGGCCCAGCCAAAATTGAGAGATACGAGGTTTTAATTTTGTGTGGAGTTGGGGTGGGAGGGGTGTGCACAGAGAAGGTAGAGGTCAGAGGACAACTTGCATGAGCTGGCTCTCTCCTTTCACCACGTGGGTCCTGGATATGGAACTCAAGTCATCAGGCTTGGCAGCAAGCACCCTTCCCCACTGAGCCGTCTTGGTGGCCCTGAGACTTGAGGTTTCAATCATATCAGCTCAGATCCTGTTTAGAGGTGGTCAGATGAGAGGTTGAGCAGTTGGAAGCAGAGTGGGAATCCTGAAGGTTGGGGCAAAGAGGACGTGGAAATGGCTAGATGGGGGTCGTGACACCAGTTTAGTGGTCAACTGTAGAGTTTCTCACCTGGACAGTGATGACATCCCCTGGAACAGGTTGTGTGAGTAGGGCAGGTTCAGGGGCAGATGACACAATTTGGGACAGAGGGATCCCCAAGGCTGCATTGTGTAAGTCTGGGATGGAGATGAGTTAGTTGCCTGGAGCCGGCGGTGGGTGGGATAGTGAGGAGAATTCCCATCGCTTGTTTTCGGTGTTCTGGGCCCTAGAGTCCTACAACAAGATGCAATAGGCATCTCTCCCCTGATTTTGTTTCTCTTTGGGTCTTTCTCTCTCCTAAATGTGTTTACTTTGTGTGTGTTTGCTCAAGTGTGTGCCACAGCATGGAAGTCAGAGGACAGCTTGCAGACTTGGCTGCACGTGCCTTCACCCAGAGAGCCATCTTTCTGGCTGTTTTTAAATTTATTTAAAAATTAAATCTATTTTATATTGCTGGGATTCAAACCCCAGGCCCTGTGTGTGCTAGGTTCTACCACCATGCTACACCTTCAGCCCCTATTATTTATTTGTTTGTTTGTTTATTTATTTATTTATAGGTGGTGTCTCAAGTAGCCGAGGCTGGCCTTGAACTCTCAATCCAGTTGCTGGGATTATAGGCATGTACCACAAAGCCCAGTTTGACTTTTATTTTCATTTATATCATTATTTTATTGAGACAAAGTCTCTGTAGCCCAGGCAAGTCTCAAATTTGTGGCATTCCTTGCCTCAGCCTCCTGCCTACTGAGACTATAAGACATGACTTACCAATCCCAGCTCTTCGCTTGACTTTTTCCAGGAAAAATATGAATGGCTTTCATTCTGTATCATGGATTTTTTTCTTTTCTGTTTTTATATTTTTGTATCTTTGATTTAAAAAAAATTAATTATATGTGTATATGTCCATCCATGGGTGGGTTTGTCCATGTGCATCTGGTATCTTCCAAGGCCAGAAGAAGGGGTCAGATGTCCTATATCAGGACTAACAGGTAGGTGTAAGCTGGGTGCTCCTAACTGCTGAGCCATCTCTCCAGCCCCTCAGAATTTTTTTCTCCCCCTAAAATCAAATACCCAATAGACAGGACTTGAAAACTTTTATTTCTTTTCTTTTCTCTGAGACTGACTACTATGCAGCCCAGGCTACTCTCAGACTCTCTGTAGAAGATGACCTTGAACTGTTCCTCTCAGTGGGAGGACCCTCAGCCTCCACCTCCTCAGTGCTGGGATTACAGGCATGCACCACTACAGCTGATTTAGACAGTGCTGGGGGTGGGAGCCAGGGCTTCATAGACGCTAGGCAAGCACTCTACCCTCTGAGCCATATACCCAGCCCACATTTGGTTCTTCAGAGCCTTCCCCAGTCCTTAACTCTGAATGTGTGTGTGTGTGTGTGTGTTTTGGTTTTTTGAGACAGGGTTTCTCTGTGTAGCTTTGCACCTTTCCTGGAACTCACTCTGTAGTCCAGGCTGGCCTCGAGCTCACAGAGATCTGCCTGCCTCTGCCTCCCGAGTGCTGGGATTAAAGGCGTGCGCCACCACCGCCCAGCCCTTGTTCCCTTCTTCTGCCCATCCATCCCATAAAAACATGTGTCAGCGAGGAACCTGACTAGTCAGTGTATACTTCTCCCTAGCAGCAAAGTTTGTGCACAAGCCTGGGACCTGCGTCCCTGGAAAAGGCGTCTGTCAATGACCCTTGTTGGGTGGCTGGCAAGGGGTTCAGTGGTTTGAGCACTGGCTGCTCTCCCAGAGGCCCTAGATTCAGTTCCCAGCACCCACACGGAGGCTCACAAGCAACTGCCTGTAACTCCAGTTCCAGGCATTCTGACCCCCTCTTCTGGCCTCCACAGGCACTGAACACATGTGGTGGGGCATAGACATTACATGCAGGTAAAACACCCACACACTTATAAAATGATTTTTTTTTTTTAAAGAAACAATCCTTGTTGGAGGGCTGGAGAGATGGCTGAACTTAGAGCACTTGTTGCTTTTGCAGAGGATGGGGTTTTGAACTCAGCCCCACATGGTAGCTCACAAACTTCAGGGATTTTTGTTTTGTTTTGAGGGGGGGCAGTCTTCTGATGCCATTTTCTGACCTCCCCAGGCACCAAGCATGCACATACATTCATGCAGGTAAAACATACATACACATAACATTAAATAAAAAAAAACCTGACTTTAAAAGTTTTGATCCATGTTGTAGGCCAGGAGAGTTGCTCAGTGGGTAAAGGTGGTTGGCACCAAACCTGACAACTTGAATTCGATCTCCAGTATGTATGTGGGGTGGAAAGAAAGAACACATTGTCCTCTTACCTCTTTGCATGGACATCAGGCATATATGCACAAATAAAGCATGATATATTTTTTAAAATCTCTGATGGAGCTGGGATTAGAAAGCAGAGCTTATGCTGGGTATGGTGGCACACACCTTTAGTCCCAGCTCTTAGGAGGCAGAGGCAGGTGGATCTCCGAGTTCGAAGCCAGCCTGGTCTACAGAGTGAGTTCCAAGACAGCCAGGGCTACACAGAGAAACCCAGTCTTGAAAGAAGGAGAAGAAGTAGTAATAGTCAGCTGGGCGGTGGTGGCGCACGCCTTTAATCCCAGCACTCGGGAGGCAGAGGCAGGCAGATCTCTGTGAGTTCGAGGCCAGCCTGGACTACAGAGTGAGTTCCAGGAAAGGTGCAAAGCTACACAGAGAAACCCTGTCTCGAAAAACCAAAAAAAGAAGAAGTAGTAATAGTCACAGTTTATTCAGAAGACGGAAGCAGGGGGATAGAAAGTTCAAGGCCTGCCTGTGTAACTTACCGAGACTCCAACCTTGAAATAAAAACTAAACAGGAGGAAGAGGAACTAGAGATGTAGTTAGCGGCAGAGGGCTTACCGAGAATGCGTGAGGCTCCAATGTTCAGTCTCCAGAACAGCAATATATATAATAAAATAAAATCTCTGTGACATCCACAGATTATAGAGTCCACCAGGCAAGATCTCCAGGCCCAGGCAGAACCCCATAGCATTTTCCTGAAGTTAGAAACACATGCCCCTTGTCCAAAGATCCAGTCACTGGACGGCAGTTTGATAAGCCAAGTACTAGCCAGGGTTTCTCCTTAACATGCCTTGTATCTGTTATCGATTTGCTACAGCAGTGCTATGTAACAAACTGGCCTTAACCTTGTTTTCCTCTACATGATCCCAAGGTGTTGGACATGATGGGCAGGAGCTCTGCTCCTGAGCCATGCCCCCCAGCTCCTTCCTCACTAAGAGATTCTACTTGAACTTTTTTTTTTTCTGAGACAGGGTTTCTCTGTGTAGTTTTGGTGCCTGTCCTGGATCTCTCTCTGGAGACCAGGCTGGCCTAGAACTCACAGAGATCCGCCTGCCTCTGCCTCCTGAGTGGTGGGATTAAAAGCTTGCGCCACCAACGCTCGGCCTATTTGAACATTTTAAATCCAATTATTTATTTGTTAGGGAGCATCCACTATAGAGGCATATGGAGGTCAGAGTGTAACCTGAGGAAGTCAGTTCTCTTATTTCGCCATGTCTATTCTGGGGACGGAACTATCACTGGAGGATTCTGGGCAAGCACTGTACTGATGGGCCAAGCCCCAGTCCCTTACTGGGGGATTCTCGGCAATCACTCTGCTGCTGGCCCAAGCTCCAGTCCCTTACTGGGGGATTCTAGGCAAGTGTTCTACCACTAACCTCTATCCCCACCCTCTTTCAAATTTTAAAGTTTGAGACAGAGTCTTGCTAAGTTACCCAGGCTAGCCTTGAATTATTTCATTTATAATCCAAGCAGGCCTAGAACCTGGGATCCTCCTGCCTCAGGCCCCAAGTAGTTGGGATGGAAGACCTTAACTCAAA